ACAAGAGACAACAGGTGTAGCAAACCTGTTTACACAAGAGATAATCTCATGAATACAAAGATACCAAACCACATGTACATCACATGCATTGATAGCCTCATACACACATTAAATCATATCACATCAGCTATATCAACAGGAACATACAATGTACATGTACATGCATTTATAAATAGAATTACTTACCAACAATGTCATATTCATTGGTCCTACTAATGGAAGCATTGACAATATAACTTGATAAATAATTTGACGACACGCTGACCATGCAAGTGTATACACCAGAATCCTCAGAAGAAACAAAATATTGAAATTGTAAAGTCTTTCGATACTGCCCTCCACTAGGATTACTCGATAACTGTTGTAGGTTTTTCCTCCCATTAGAAGAAAGTCCAGAACGAACAATTGTGTCATTGAACAGTATATCAACGCTGACTGTAACTGTAGGATCATTGTGTATGTATAATGAATCAATGGAGCATTGAAGGTCACGTCTGAGACCAGCGTAATAGGGTGGAGATAGGTAGTTAAGAGCCAACACAACTGAATTAGGCTCAGGCACTGTAAGAGAGAGATAGGGGAAAGAGAGAGAGAGATGAAAAAAGAGAGTTAAGATAGAAGGTAAACAATTAAAAATGGAGTCTATAGTGAATGTGCATGTTCTGTACATGTACATGTACATGTATGTGGGAGAGAGAGAGAAAGAGATTGAGGTCAGACAAAATAACATCTGTCATAACTCACAACACTATAACAACATCACACAATATCACTCACTATACTGCAGTCACACCACATGTACATGTTAGCCACACATACATATACTGTACGTGTACATGTACTTGTACATGCAATACAGCATACCAATACTGACTGTAGATAGTGTCATTATTATAAAGTATAATTAAGCAAAACAACTCAGTACAGTAACTGATGCATGTTCTCTAATAAGGAATGAGTGTCAGTGAGTAATCCTACTATCAGCAGTGTATGCATTATTAGTGTGTATAGTGGTAGACTGTGATTGGGTTGATAATGATAAAACTTCCTTATTCAATTTCATTCTTTCTCGAGTGTTTACACACACACACACACACATACACAGGCTCAAGATTATGTCTCCATATCTTAATCATTGTACATGCATAGTCACATCATACATGTATGTACATGTACATATTTATTAATACTGACACTTTTAATTCTTTGCAGCTACTAAAAAGCTCTGAATTCTCTTATTTCTCTCTCTCTTTCTTCCTCTCTCTCTCTCTCTCTCTAAAAAATTTCCTTCTTTCTTATTTCTCTCCATACATGTTAAACGCATGTGCATGTACAAGGTTATCCATACTTACTTGACACAGTGATTAGTGTGGTATTAGACACAATGAGATTATATCCAGTATCAATGAATGAAGACGAAACATTAGCCACGCAAGTATAATTACCAGCCTCTTCAGAGAGAACCATACCAAGATTAAGATTAGAAGTTCCCTCGGCTAAATTAGTAGTGATACCACTCCCAGTGAAAAGAAAAGAGTCCTTGTACCAGGTTATGGAAGCAACAGTTGAATTGAGTGAGTCTGGTAATAGCGCAGCACACATTAGGGTGTACTCTTCTCCCAGTGTGAGGGATAGGTCAGGACTGGGGTCTAGAGAGAGGGAGAGGTAGGGAGCTGAGAGAGGGAGGGAGGGGGAGAGGAAGGGAGGAAGGGAGGGAGGGGGGAGGGAGGGAGGGGGAGAGAGAGGGAGGGAGGGATTTAGAAAAAAAAAGAATAAATAAATGTACATTTTTAGGAGTACAATCTAGCAATTGTACTAGTACATGTACATAAAAAGATAATAAATAAAATAAAGAAAAAAGATTAAACTAAGACAGAAACAATTGTACATGTACATGTACATTCATGGAAAAAGATACAATAAAACGGTTTTAAAAATAAACACACACAAATAAATAATATAAACCAACAAAAGTATCTCACTACAGGGTAGACCCTTCCAATAAAATAAACATAGAAAATAAACAAAAATTTATAAATAATTCCAAATAACAACTACATGTATAAACAATTCAAAAAAATAAATAAAATAAAAACTGAACCTTAATAAATTATTATGTATCAATCAACATACCATCAATATCAACCTTAATGGTAGCTCTACCATCCACAGCACTACCATTGACAGCATCACAGGAGTACTGACCAGTGTGTGATAGTCTGATAGGACTCAGGGTAAGCAACCTACTAACAGAATTAGCATCCTCTCCAATACCACCAAGCATCACTCCTTTACTCATATCAGAGACTATAGTCACATTATCCTTCATCCATCTTATCTCCAGTGACACATTATTTATCTTATTAACAGTACAGTTTAGATAGAAAGATTCACCAACTTCCTGCGATCCCATGGTCGTCACGGCAACTCGTACGTTACCTGCCGCTTGCACGGTCACGGACCCGACCGTGGTATCTATGGTAACGTTGTTATGACGCAGTGATTTGACCTCGCACCTGTACGTGCCGAGATGATTCACGGCATTCTCAACAATGAGGTCATTCTTGTATGTACACTGCTCCCTGTCCATCACCCTTTGGTTCATTGTGAATCCACTGCCAGGGGATAGCTGGACATTGTTGTGCTTCCATACAACTTGAGTTGCTGGCCAGCCAGTGGTTATACAGGTAACTATGATTGACTCGTTATTAGTGCTGTATTCAACTGACTGGACTTCAAGAGATGCTAAGAGAGAGAGGGAGGGAGGGAGAGGGAGGAAGGGAGAGGGAGGGAGGGAGAGAGAGAGAGAGAGGGAGGGAGGGAGGGAGTGAGGGAGGGGGAGAGAGAGAGAAAGAGTGTGTGATAACAATAAAGGAAAAGGAAGACAGATAAAGGTGATTAAGTACACTCTATGTTCATACAAACTGTCAACAATCCATAAGTGTAGATACATATGATATAGCATTAACATGTACAGTACATGTGAATGTACTAATTGATAAAGTACTACCCTGACACAATACTTTCACATGCACATTTGTATGCTTTATACATGTACTTTATAAATTCATTTTCCTAATATGCTATCTCCTCGATTACACAAAGATAACTGACTCACTAAAAATATCAAAACTATATTAGAACAAAAATAATAAACTAAGGACACCAATACACCATCATTACAATGACTAAGCACTTGCTCAGGATAATCCCCCAGTGATGACTCTACAGTCAATTCATTTTCACCTTGACCTTCAGATTAATATACTACCAGCAGAGCAACTTTAAGTGCATGTACACATGTACATGTACATTTAAGTACATGTATAGTTGTTGTACATGTACATGTATGCATGTACTGAAACAGCTAAGGCTTTGACAGTCATCAATTTAAGTGGAAAGTTATTTTAGTGAAGAGCATTAAAAGATGTCTATGTTAGTACATGTAAGTGAATTGATATTAACTTGATGTTATTCATAAAAAAAATCTTAACTAGAGTGTACATGTACATACATGTACATGTACATATTGATGAATATTCTTTCTTTTCCTCATTATAGACAGTACAGGCTCTCATTAGAAACCACAAAATGTGAATATTTATACATAAAAGAGTAGGAGAGAAAATGAATCACATGTATAACAGTGACATCAAAGGGACATTATTATGACTAACATACTGCAAGTGAATATAATAATAAACACATTTTATGTACACTGTACATGTACAAGAATCATATACCCAATAGGTAGTGGGAGGTACACAGTATTATATAGAGCATGTGGATAACATGTGCCAATGCATGTGTAGTGCATGTGCACCCACTTACTAGTATTACTAGAGCCAGAAGAAGGCTCTCTGCTCCTTGGAAAGACAGCAAATGATGTATAAGAAACACCACCAGTTGAATTAGTATATTGACAAGTATATACCCCATTAGTAACACTATTTATTGAGGTCTGACCATTCTTTCTAAGGTACCCTGCCTCCCTGTTTGTGAATGTAAGAGGTTGGGAAGAACCAGTTGGAGTGAGTATTTGTGTAGCATCATTGTTAGTGCTAGTGTCACCAGTGTAGCATCTGACCTCAGAGACATCACTGTATACTGATATTGCAGTGTTGTTTGGTAGGAGTCGCCCTGGGGGAGGATTGTTGTACCAAACAGTTGTACCTTTGGGAGAAAAAAACAATGAGAGGACAGAGGGGGAGGGAGGGGGAGGGAGGATGTGAACATAAAAAGAGAGGGACAAACAAAGAGAGATAGAGAGAGAGATAAGGGAGAGAAGGATAGAGACAGGGAGAGTAGAAAAAGAAAGAAAAAAGAATAATTGAAAGAGTACATGTATATACATATACATAAAATGGAAAAAAAGGACAGAGAAATAAATGAATATATTTTAATAAACATACATATATGTAATTCATCAATCGGGAATTATAATGTTGATAATATAATACACGTGGATAATAGAGAAATGTGCAACAAACAACATGTAATATAAACACAACAAGCCACAATAACAATAATACAATGATAATAATTATAACAACTACAATATAATGTACAGTAAACCATATTATAATACATTACATTACAACACACAAACACACACACCACGTGCCCAACTACTCAATACAGATACAAATATGGACATACAAGTACATACATGTATACTATACACATACTATATACATGTACACTATATACTGTACATACTATATACACTACACTACACTACACTACACACACACACACACACACACACACACACACACACACAGGCCAAGTACCCAACTCCTCATACACTACAATATACATGTACTCACACATTATGCAAATATGGACATACATGTATACATGTACAATGTACCATTCATACATAGTATATGTACATTATTCATAAGTACATGTACTGTAGCTACCTTGTACTGATATTGTATAAGTGGCAGTGTTTCCTCCTGAGTTACACACATGATCTCCTGTATTAGCTCCACGAAGGAACAAACCAGTAATGTTACTAGTAGTGACTGCTGACTCAGAAAATGATGAGGTCCATGAGTAAGTATTAGTAGTGCTAGAACAAGTTAGAGTGACATTCTCTCCTGCTTGAAACACAGCTGGAGAGGAGCGGGGAGGAGCTGAAGTTATGGAGACATTACCAACAACTGGAACAAAGAGATTAAAAATAAAATTAATAATAATAATAATAATTAGATAGAGATAATTATGATACTAATAATATATGTACATGTAATCATAAAGTACATGTGTTTAATAATACTTGTGCTACACTTTATTGAGGAATGTGAAAATAAAAATTATTATAGTAAAAAAAACTAAAAAGACATGTATATAATAATCTTGAATATGCATGTATATGTATTACAGTGTAGATTTATACAAGTGATAAAACACTACTACAGGAAATGCTCTTAAATATATTCAATGTAAACGAGTACATATAAAATGTATATTAGGTAAACAACTCGTGACTTTAATTTCTCCCAAAAATCACTAACCACTTGCAAGTTGATTTTACACTAATTTAAAAAGTACAAGTGTGAAATGCAATAAATAATAAACTGAAAGAGAGAGACACAGAGATATTCCTAGTATTAAATCTATGGCTATTGATATAAATGTACATCAGGATACGGAGTGATTGGGTTGATGGGATAAAATGAGCCCCATATCAATTAATCCTGATTATATTCACGTTATGTTCTACCTTACCTATTAGTGGTGCCAATAATAAGAGATATAAGATGAGGCTCCCTCTTAGAAGACATCTGAAAACAGGATCAGAGAAGGAAAGAGAACAAAGAGAGAGAAAGCGTCGACCAGGCTTCTCGTTAAATTTATAAAGCAATGAGCCACGCCTACTAATAACACGTGGGTGTAATGCGGAAGAGTCCGAAGCTAGTGCACGCTAAACACGTGCTGAAAAATACCAAGCTGCTTTTGAAAATGCTGATAAGTACTATGAATTAAAATAATGCAAGCATTCACACACGTCTAGAAAATAATGTAACTAAAATACAACAATATGGTACACCTAGCAAAGAGCATATAAAACTTTGAACAATTTGTACACAAAGAGTTGATTAAGTTATAAATCAGACTTATCAGTCACAGTTGGTATTTCATATTCAGTAGAAGATGGCGGAAGAGGAATCTCATACTCATCATTAGTTGTATCATACACTGGCTCAACAGTTGATCTATTACTTTAAATAATAATAATAATTGTATTTTATATAACTGACTGTGTTTGTTGTACTGTACTATATGCTGGACTATTCTTCATTAGTATATCATCAGCAGTACTGTATGTGTGTGTGTGTATAAACATAATGTAATAGTCAATAGTGTAACTAACTTTGTTTTAAATTCAGTTACATCATAAGCTGGACTGCAATCCATTACAATCTCATTATTGGATTGTCTGAGAACCACAAACTTCAAGTTAAGTAATGATTGTGTACATTTACATACCTCTTTTGATTTTGAGTTATTTTAATGTATATAACCAGTATTACTATAACACTCATAGATACAGTTAATAGTGATGTTGATACAGTCACACCAATTATCACTCCAGTATTACCTCCATTATTCACTAACTTATCATCTTCACCAGTAGTTATGTTACCAATAGCCCTTGGTCCATTACCTTCTGAAGTATTAGCAAACACATAACAGCTATAGACCACCCCTGGCCTGAGACCAGTTATATTATGCATGTAACGTGATTGGGTCATTTCTAGCGTATCCTCCACAGGGACCAGCTGTGGGGGGATTTGGTTACAACCGACTGTGTAGTTGGTGAGGATTCCGTTTTGTTGCAGTTCAGGTATCGGTAGCCATGAGAGGGTGAGAGTGGTGGAGTTTATTAAAGTGAGAGTTAATGATTGAGGAGCACCACTAGGAGCTAAAGAAGGGAAGGGAAAAAAAGAAAAAAAATTAATTCATGTACATGTACACGTACATACATTATGAAGAAGTAATGAAACATGAAACATCATGTTTTATGCAGGAAACATGAGTCAAACAGTTGTGTACATGCTGAATTTTTCCGACAGGGTGTACATACAATGTATATGTAAAAGTTATAGTACTTAGCTTTTAAAAAGCAAAAACTTTTCATAAGTAATAAATATAATATTTTTAAGATGAAGTATACACATTCAAACCTTAATAGATCTTCAATATTGCAGTTAATTAATTAGTAATTAGTACAAAAGTGACAGCTACAGCTCCAAAAAATATGGTACATGTACATGTAGTCTCTCTCCCTCCCTCCCCCCTCTATCTATTTCTTACCACTAGGTTCAGTCATTGGTGTATCAATAGCAGGTGGTCCAGCCCCCACTGCATTACTAGCAGTTAAACTACAACTATAAGCCGTGAATGGTCTCAATCCGCTAACAGTGGCATTAGTTAGATCAGGAGTATAATTTATAGGAAATAAAGATGGTACAATGTTCCTTTCAAGCTCAGTGCATGATAGTGTGTAGCCAGTGATCATCCCATATTGGAGGAGAAGGTTTGGTGGCTCCCAGGAGAGTGTGAAATTAGTAGAAGTGATTGTGTGTATCATGAAATTAAGAGGAGGTCCACCGGGAGCTGGAGAAAAAAGAATGAAATAAATTAATAATAATAATACATTATTATTATTATTATTATTATTATCATCATCATCATTATTATTATTAATCATTATTATGATTATATTCTATTAGAGTTAATAAAAATTAACAAAAAATAATAACGATTAATATCTACATATCTACATCTACTACTGTAATACTAGCTTTCTATTGCGAATGCAATAAAATGTTTTGGCTGCTACTACAGGTACATGTACACAAATTTGCCAAAATAGAATCTGCTAATTATAACAACTTGTCAAATTTAACTCCAACAAGTACTTCTACCTGTACAGCTTAAGTAGATTGATACTGTATAGTACTGTTTTAACAAATGCACATACGTGTACGTGTACATGCACATGTACGCATATACAAGTATATATAAATGTACTACTCTAAAATTTTAATTTTCAAATTTAAATTTTTAAGACAAATGCAATTTGGCAAATTGTAGAAGTACTTTTAAATTTTTTAAAAATAATTAAAAATAATACTAATTATAAGTATTAATAGTAAGCAAGAATATTTATTAATAGTAATGACAATAATAATAATAAGGATTACCAACAATAATAATCATAATAATAATAACAAAAATACTAATAATATCATTACTTTCTTGTATAGTACTAATATAAGCAATAGCAGTAGGACCAGTACCAGCATCATTAGACGATGTCAGAGTACAATTAACAAGAGTCCCTGGACGAAACCCACTCAGAACAAACTGAGCTGAACCACTCTCATTGACAATACGAGGAAAACTGGGTGTGGTTATTAAATTAACGACTCCACCCACAGTTTCGTAACAAGTAAGATTATAAGTTAATATGAATCCGTTCCTGTGTTCAAGGGGAGGAGGGTCCCAGGAGAATGAGAGAGATCTTGAGTTAGTGTTAGTGGTTATAGTGAAATTACTAGGAGGAGCAGTAGGGGCTGCAGACAATAAGAAAACTAAAAAATAAATAAATATAAAATAAAATAATTAAAAAATAAATTACATGTTTACACTTTACACAGTAGATGAAAAATTTTGAGGGCCTTGCCTTTCACTGATTTAAGAAAAAAATAAAATTTGCAAAAATCAAGATACATACATGTACATGTACATGCATGGACATGTACATGGTAGAAAAATAATAGTTCAAAATAAAGTATAAATAAAAAATTTTCAAGGGCTTTAGCTTTTGCTGATTTTGAGACAATAAAATCCACAAAATCTAAATAGTGAATGGCAGAATGCTTGATTTAAATGTACAAAAATATAAATGATTTCTGGGTGAAAGTCTAATCCTTTAAAATTTTGAAATCATGTACATGCATGTCCATTGACATATTGAAACAATGTTATGAATTGCATTTAAGATCTCACGTTTTTCTCTGGTCTTAAAACTATTAGCACTACTTTCAGTAGATCCTTCAGTATTAGTTGACCTAATCCTGAAATAATAGACTGTATCATGAGTCAAATCAAATAGATCAACCGTTAACACGGAATCAGTAATCCTGAAATTAGTTGATCCATTAACGACAGAACTTAGTCCATTCATATTAGTTGAATTAATTCCATAAAGTACAACATATTCCTCAGGAGTGTATGCTATACTGGGGACTATCCACCTGATGGTGGCTGAATTATAACGAATGTTGACAGCAGTAGTGTTTACTGGAGAATGAGGGGATGATGGAGCTGGGGAGAGAGAGAAAGAGAGGAAAATAAATTAAAATGCACATTGTGTAATGATAATGTTATTGCTTAACAGATACAATAAGCCAGATTTATTGTGACTTATTAATTTTCCCTATTGGTTGCTTATAGCAACTATATTACATAATAAGAATTTTATGAATTTATTGAATGTTCAATATATCACATAATGAATGCTTGTCAAGTAAGGCTTAATTTACATGCAATATGCTTAGGCATGGTAGAAGCTATAATTGTATTTTTATAGTACAGTTTTGAAAATTCCAGGTCTGCAGTGCATCTAATTTCTTGATTTTTTCTTCCTTTTCGCCACTGGAATTTTCATCTTTTACTTGAATCTTTTCTTCTTTTATTGCCAACCCAGCCTCCTTTATAAGTTTGGTGGAAGTGTGTTCATATTTCTGTAGCCCTTTTGAACTCCTGTGACCTGAAAATTCAGCTATGATTTTTTCTGGAATGCCTGCGTTAAACATTCTTGTGCAAGCTGTCGCTCTCAGACTATGATTTGTGTATCGATTACTAAGTCCAGCCAACTCTGACATTTTTGCCATCATATTTTTGAGTGTATTGACTCCTATAGGTGTTACCTGGTACCATGGACATGTTGGATCACTATCTATTCTCTGCATTGGCTACATATAAAAGGCCTTTGGATTCTTAGGTAGTTTTGATATATAAAGATCAATCAATTGTACTGGACACATGCCTGGTATGGAATAATCTGGCTGCGCATGTAGTATTGTGTGTGTGTGTGTATGTGGGTATATATAGCTGACTTTATTAGAATCCAGATCACTTAGTCTTCCCTGATAATTTTTCGACCCATGCTCTACGTACTGGTAGTAAGTGTCTTCATCGTATACTCCATGGTCTTGAGGAAACCTACGAAACTGATCAATGGTAAGGTCGCAATGTTCTTGACCACCTTTCAGTGTGAAAGAAAGACCAACAGTGTAAAATACAGCACAAAGGAGAGGCCAAGGTGAGTCTGTTCCCATAACTCCACTACTCCACAATAACTGCTCATCCTCTTTAGTTATTACTGCTGCAGCCTTCCTTATTGCACCAACCCCTTCCTTTCTTAAAGTAACACACACAGAGTCTATTGTATTCTGTATATCTCTAAACCTGAAATCATTCTTGCTAAACAGATGGTAGTCTAGCTTATTGTCTTGCAATATTCTCTGATACGCAGTGAGGAGACTTCTTATAGTGGCAGGGGGGTATGGCTCTCCGTTTTCCTTTCTAGCCTCACTTACAAAGCAACAAAGCCAATAGCAAACTACTTCCCAAGTTTTTACATGCTAGAAGGTCTTCAGGAACCTTTTCCTCTGACATGGAGTTCCTAAATGATACCCAACTTTGAAACATATGAAGAGCCCATTTATTTGCAAGTTTCGTGTTAGCCGGTACGGCACCTTTTGCCTTCTCTGTTGTTTCTTCCGTTGTTATTGGAAGTAGAAAACGACGGTTAGGGCCAAGAACCAGTGGGCGCTTCAGAGGTACAGTGGAAATTTGCTCTAGAGCAGCTCTCTTCAT